AAAAAAAAAAAAAAGAAAATCCTACAACTATACATATATCCTATATATCTAATAGAGAAAGATTGAATATTTTCTAAGACTAGAGTTTGCTCTCCCTACCTTCATATAACATTGTATAGGAAGAGTCTACCCAGTTCTTTCTGATAAGAAGAAACAAATGGCATCCAAATTAGAATAGTGAAATTATCTGAATTTGCATATGTTATGATTTTCTACATAGATAATCTGAGGGAATTTACCAAAAAACCTATTAGAACTAATAAGTTTTCAGGCTATCTCTTTGATACACAAGAACTGATTGTACAGTCATGCATTCCTTAATGGGGATAGGTTCTGAGAAATGCATCATTAGGTGATTTCATCATTGGAGAAACATCAAAGAGTATATCTACACAAACCAAGATGATACTACATACAGTATATTCTACACCTAGGCTGTAGTCTATTGCTCCTAGGCTATAAACCTATACACATTATTAGTGTATTGAATACTGCAGGCAATTGTAACACAGGGCTAAGTATTTGTGTGTTTAAACACAGAAAAGGTAGAATAAGAATACAGTATAGAAGATTAAAAAAAAAAGGTACATCTGTATAGGGTACTTAGCATGAATGGAGCTTGTGGAACTGGAAGCTGGTCTGGGTGAGTCAGTAATTAAGTAGTGAATGAACATAAAGTCCTAAAACACCACACTTCTGTAGATTTTACAAACACTGTATACTTAGGCTACAGTTATAAAAAATGTCTTTCTTCAATGATAAAGTAACCTAAGCTTACTGTAACTTTCTTACTTTATAAACTTAATTTTTTTTTTTGAGACAGAGTCTCACTATGTCGCCCTCAGTAGAGTGGCGTGGCATTATAGCTCACAGCAACCTCAAACTCTTGGGCTTAAGTGATTCTCTTACCTCAGCCTCCCAAGTAGCTGGGACTACAGGTGCCCACCACAATACCAAGCTAAATTGTTGTTGTTGTTGTCATTATTGTTTCAGCAGGTGTAGACTGGGTTCAAACCCCCCCAAGGTGTATGTGGCTGGCACCCTAACCACTGAGGTACAGGCACCAAGCATAAACTTAATGGTTATATTAGTTTGCAATCCTGCCAGCAGCGTAGAAGTGTTCCCTTCTCTCCACATCCACACCAGAATCTGGCGTTTTGTAACTTTGTGATATGGGTTAATCTTGCTGGGATTAGGTGATATCTTAGAGTGATTTTAATTTGCATTTCTCTGATGACTAATGATGAGCTTTTTTTTATCTGTTTGTTGGCCATTCATCTGTCATCCTCAGAGAAGTTTCTGTTCAATCACTTGCCCAGTTATAGACAGGGTTGGAGGGTTGTTTGCACTTTTCTTATTGTTTGAGCTCTCTGTAGATTCTAGTTATCAGGCCTTTGTCAGATTTATAACATGCAAAAATCTTCTCCCATACTGAGGGCTGTCTGTTTGCTTTGTTTATGGTACTCTTAACTGTGCAAAAGCTTTTTAGCTTGATCAAGTCCCAGTTATTTATTTTTAGTGTTGCTACAATTGCTATGGGGGTCTTCTTCATAAAGTTTTCCCCCAGGTCAATATCTTCAAGTGTTTTCCCCATATTCTCTTCTAGAATTTTTATTGTTTCGTGTCCTAAAATTAAAAAAAAATTTTGAGACAGGTTCACTACGTCGCCTTTAGTAGAGTGATGTGGTGTCACAGCTCACAGCAACCTCAAACTCTTGGGCTTAAGTAATTCTCTCGCCTCAGCCTCCCATGTAGCTTGGACTACAGGCACCCACCACAATGCCCAGCTATTTTTTTGTTGTTGTTGTTGTTCCAGTTGTCATTTATTGTTTAACTGGGCCAGGCTTGAACTCACCAGCCTCAGTGTATGTGGCTGGTGCCATAACCACTTGCTATGGGCACTGAGCCTTACATTTAAATTTTTATCCAATGAGAATCAATTTTTGTCACTGATGAGAGGTGCAGGTCCAGTTTCAGTCTTCTGCATATGGATAACCAGTTCTCCCAGCACCATTTGTTAAATAAGGATTCTTTACCCCATTGAATATTTTTGTTAGGCTTATCAAAGATTAAATGATGATATGTGACTGGGTTCATTTCTAGATGCTCTTTCCATAGATCTGTCTCTATTTTTGTGTCAGTACCACACTGTTTTGATCACTATAGCCTTGTAATGTAACCTGAAGTCTGGCAATGTGATGCCTCTAGAATTGTTTTTATTTCTGAGAACTATATTTGTTATTTGGAGTTTTTTTGTGGTTCCATATGAATTGAAGTACTATTTTTTTAAGATCTTTAAAGTATGACATGGGGATTGCATTAAATCTATAGATTGCTTTGGGTAGTATGGACATTTTAACGATGTGGATTCTTCCCAGCCATGAGCATAGTATATTCTTCCATTTGTTGACATCTTCTGCTATTTCCTTTCTCAAAGTTTCATAATT